TGCGCGCCACGTGCGTGCGCAAGGACGCCGCACGCATGCACGAGGACGCCGCGCGCGTGCGCGAGGACGCCGCACGCGTGCGCGAGGACGCCGCACGCGTGCGCGAGGACGCCGCCGGCCTCGTTCCAACCGAACCGGTTGGAACGGGGCGAGAAACCCACCCCTGATTTGCATGTATAACTTTACTCTTCCTTGGCAGAAGGAAGTAAACAGCGTTGATACCTAATCAACAGGGTTGGTTCTATGATGCTGTCACTCACATTAAATTAAGCTAATTCAGAGCAAGGGTTCACATATGCTTGCTAACCATAGCAAGCATGTGTAGTAGAGGGGAAATATGGGCTCACTATGAGGAAAGGAAAAATCATATCTACTCTATAGATTTTCATTTTCTTCCCAAAATAGGAAGGGTTTTTTTTCCCCAGGAAGAGGAAACATTCACAATCTATTTATCAAATTTGGCTTAGAGAAAGAAAGGAAGGGAAGGGAAGGAAGGAGAAAGAAAGAAAAAGAAAGAAAGAAACTTTTAAAAGGCAGTGTGAGGCATCCCATCTGAACTGATGAAAGAGTTTTTACCATTTGAGTCTTTAGATACAAGAAGAGATTAGAGCTGTGCTACAGCTTGTATTTGGAAGCAAAAAATGTGGATGCTTTAGAGAGCATAAATATAGCCCCATCATCATTCTTAGAAGCATCTTTGTCTTCCCTAAGAACTTAAGGAGCTACAAAGAGGAACAGTGTTTCTCCTCCCACCCATTTCAAAGCACAGCCAAAGGCAGCTATTCACTCCCAGGCTTACAGAAATTAGCACCATCAGATTTATAGTTAGATCAAGACCCCAAAGGAAAATCATCCAAAATGATATTCAAGAAGCAATGTTTTAATTTGCAAAATGATTTACTGTTGTATAGCTTCTTAAAGTAAAACCAATGAAGAAAATCCCTTTTGTAAACAGAGAAGTAAAACATGAGTAGGTTAGGATAGTCTGACTTCATCTCTTTCTCACTCCTGGTCCCCCTCTCTTTCTCTCTCTCTCTCTGTAGATCAACAATGTGGTGGAGAACTTGGAGACTATACAGGGTACATTGAATCCCCAAACTATCCAGGAGATTACCCAGCCAATGTCGAATGCACTTGGAATATAAGCCCACCTCCAAAGAGACGGATCCTCATTGTAGTCCCAGAGATCTTTCTCCCAATTGAAGATGAGTGTGGTGATGTTTTAGTAATGAGAAAAAGTGGTAAGCCTTGTCCCTAGAAAAGACTGTCCCTAAAAGACTGTCATCTCAGAAGACAGTCACTGAATAATTTATCTGATTCAGAAGTGATGTTTATTTATGTAAAACTTCATAGTGTTGACTTGAGCCAAGGTGGCGCGGTGGTTAAATGCAGCACTGCAGGCTGACTGCTAGATCAGCAGTTCAGCGGTTCAAATCTCACCGGCTCAGGGTTGANAGCTTCTTCAGCTCTGAGAAGAAAAACCATAAAGTCCAGTTGTCTCTTGAAAAGCACCTTTTGGATTGTGCCTTAACTACTATATTTTTCGGAGTATAAGATGCACCAGAGTATAAGACGCACCAAGGTTTTGAAGAGGCAATTTTTTAAAAACAGTTTTTGCACTCTGCAAATCTCCCAAAAATGACCCATTTTTTGTGAAAACAGGCCTGGTTTTTTTTCTAAAAAAAAGGGGCATAAATAGCCCTTAGGAGACTTGTAGAGGGCTCCTGGGGGTTGGGGGGCCAAAAAGGGCTCATTTTTCATCAAAAAGGGGCATGGATGGCCTTATGGAGGCTTAAAGAGTGCTCCTGGGGGCTCAGGGGGGGGGGCGGCAATATTTCTGCCCTTCCCAGGAGCTCTATGAAAGCCTCCTACAGGCTATGCACAGCCATTTTGGTGAAGGGGGCAGGGTTTCAGGAGGCAAAAAATGCTGTATTCGGTGTATAAGACGCACCCAGATTTTCAGTCTCTTTTGAGGGAAAAAGGTGCGTCTTATACTCTGAAAAATACGATATATTTATGTGTAAACCATAGATTTATTCCTTTTCTAGGGCAGTGTTCTCCTGGGCAGTTTTCTTTTGATGGTTTTAAACCTTGCAGACTGTGTCCACCTGGTACTTATCAATCTGAACCGGGAAGGACCCTCTGTTTCCCCTGTGGTGGAGGGCTGGGGACAAAATACGAGGGCGCAGTTTCATTTCAAGACTGTGAAACTAAAGGTAAGTTTATGTTCTGTTCTACCATGTATCATTAGAGCACCTCAAAATAAAATATAAGAATACCATACAATGATGGTTTGCTTATGGTTCATCAAGTTTTTTTTCAACTCGTAGCAACCACACAAATAGATCTTCTCCATGATGTTGTATCCCTAACCTGTTCTTCCAAGTCTCACCACTAAGGAGTCCATCCCCCTCTTGCTGTTGGTCATCCTCTTCCTTCTCTTTCCTTCCGTCATCAGAGCCTTTCCGAAAGAACTGGGTCTTTGCATAATGCATCCAAAGTATGATAATTTAAGGCTGTTTTTTTATGCCTTCGGTGAGGATTTGGGTTGATTTGTAATAGAACCAGGGGTGGGATTCAGCCAGTTCGGACAGGTTGAGGCAAACAGGATGTTAATTTTACATTTGGTTCGCCAAACCAGTAGTTGCAAGGCCTCCCCGCGCCACCTCTTCCAAGAGTCTTCATCCGGCCCGTTTTAGATGCCAGGTAAGTGCAGGGCCTGCACAGAGGCTCTGGACGTGACCCGTCAAAACCGCGGAGGACAAAATCGCGCTCGACGAAAGCGCACATATGACGTCATCACAGCGCGATGAAAAAAATTAAA